TTTTATATTCCATTTGGGTCTATTTGGGTTCCATTGGGTAAATCGACGCACCCGTCAAAAATTATTCAATGTTTACAAAATCAAAACATTTCATGGAAAGCTACGGCAGACATACGTCTACAATTCCATATTTATTATAAAGCTGTGAATCAAATACCACATTTTCCCTGATTTAAGGTCCTGGCAACACAAGTACTGACTAGCAAATATACGTTTATACCGAGAACGTGGTTGAAGAACGCTTTTTTTAGCAATGACAGGCATGCGCGAGTTATGGCACTTTCCTATTCTGCTCCATGCTAAATAGGTCATGTTTATAAGTGAATTAACAGCTTAAATTTCTGTGCATACTTTAATTTCTTGATTCAGATTAAAAGTTGAAAGACCATTTTGGAAAATACATACATCGATTCCTGACAAAAGTGCGTAAAAAAATGCATAACACGAGATACTCGCACGGTTATATAGATAACAAAGACGTAATGGCGGCCATTATGTGAGAAAACCCTGATGTTATAAATAGGCATTATAATGCTTATGCACGTGATATTAGACATTCATATGAATGTTTTACGAAGGCTGAAAGATAGAGATTTCTAAAAACATCTTGGGTACGTAGATCAAGTCCCATAAATAGAAATTTAAAGCGAAAGTTGATGACATATATATATATTTGACAGCAATAAACAGAAGGAGAAATCATTTTTCTTTCATTTGGTATATAGTTTCTTAAAATAAACCGTTGCGCATAGGTGCGCAATGAGCTTTAACCAGTTATGCTTGACAAAAACATCGACATTTTTAACAGGGGCAGATAACTGAAATTCCCGCGCAACATCGTAGATTCTGAGGAGGCTTTATTTCTAAGTTGTATATTTGTTGATCAATGTCAATCTCAAGATGTTATATTCTTACAATGCTTAAAAAAAGATAATAAAGTAAATAAAATGCATGATTTTAATGAATCAGATCTATGAACTTTGATTAGTATCACTGCATTCTGCAACTCTAGGATACCATTTGCAGTAATTGGTGTAATGTATGGATAATTATAATTATTATAATAGATCTATATGTTTTCATTTTTTAAATTCATATATTTCTTTTAAACAATTTTTATAACAGAATATCAAGTAACTGAACAGATTAAGGGGACCTCGAGTTCATACTTGGAATTTCTTTTTCAGGAATTTTTTTTTATCAGATTTATACACATGTACCAGTATATCGTACAGCTAGATTAGCATTATTTTAAAATTTGAATTGCTCAAAATAAAAACAATGAATGCTAATACTTTTGATTGAAGTGTTGTTTAAATATTAGATTTATATTTTAATCAAATTGTTTCAACAAAAAAGAAATAAAAATATTCTAACAATATTATTTTGCAATATTTAATAATACATTTTTATAACAACATATTTAAAGATATAATAATTTAAAATCCATGAGTATGTAAACAAAATCTAATTATATATTCTTTGCTGATGTGTACTTCATTAAAAGTACTCATGTTCTATCTTACTAAGTGCCTGGTTTCCCTCTTTGGTATAACATTAAGTATAATTCTGAAGATCCTACAATTTATACCTATAAACTGAAAAATGATCTGGAATCAGGGGCTTGAAAACAAAAGTTTAATAGATTTTGCATTTGATTCTCAGAGTAAAATCAGCAGTAAATGCTGTCATTATTTAAAGTTGTTAAAAATGAATATCAATTTACATTTCTTCAAGTGTTATTATTATTTTTTTTACAACCGAAAAATTGGCAGAAAACACGAAATGCTACTGAATTTCAAATACTTATATCTTTTTTGTACATTGACCAATCTGAATAACCTCTACACCATTGAAATCCTTGTAAACTGACCTTTCTTTTGATGTAAAACAAGTGTGGTTTCAAAATTATTTTAAAAATTGCCTGTTATTGCTACTTTTTTTTTATTTTATGTTGATCACAACATGGGATCTGTGTTAAATAGAATAAAAGAGGTACGAGCACATCATACACTTACATTCCAGGCTTGGTAAAACCGTTTCACTCGTCTGAAAAAGGTGTCTTTATCCACATGTAAACTTGACATGATTTAACAGCACAAACTTCTCTTCATCTCAATCAAGGCAATGCGCTGAATGAGCACAATGGCGGGAGAACGCAGAACAAAAACTAACTAAAAGCAAGAAAAGTTTTGGGAAGAATATTTATTTCCGAATTGCCGAGTTCCGGCCTTCCACTGGAAATATTGTGAAAAATTGTACTGTAAATATTGAATATAATGTACATGTATAAAAAAAGGAAACGGCTTTTTTTATTGCACATTCTCAAAATTTACAATAACTTCCATGTCCGTGGCGGTGGGGGTATAAAAAAAGTGTCATCTGAAAGTCCGGTTCCCCCCAACTTTTTGTTGAAGAATAATCAAACAGGGCAATGAAAAATATTATGAAAACATTATGGCAGATAATGACAACAAAGTCGTCAATTTAAAAGAGAGAGAGAGAGAGATGTCCATAGGTTAGGTTTATAATTCTATAATTCATGTTTAAACTATCAGAAAAATTCATCAAAAATATAATTAAAAAAAGAATGTTATAGGATTTTTTTTATATCTCTTAAGCTCTCCAATTAATTCAGGATATTTTGTATTTTTTTTTTTATCAATTACATTTGCAAAGGACTTGTAGGACTCAGGGGGTCTGCATGCCCAGTCCCCATTTCCCCCCAAAATATAACATATGACTTTTACTGTATGTTAGTGGAAAATATTTTTTTTGTTACACCATAGTTAAGTCTGGTAAATTGGTAATATATAATTTTTTGAATTTTTAAAAAGTTGGAATTTAAAAACAGCAACCCCCTATAGAGTTTAGAGGTGACGACAGGCACGTACCAACCGGGGGATGGCCTTACCGACCCTCTCTTTTTCCCAAACATAATTTCTACCATAAAAGACCGGTTGCCCCCTCCCCGCACTTTTTGTTACAGTATATAGTCAAAGATAGATATTGGGGCAGTATATGAGAAAAAGATGGTACAAAAAGAAGCTGGGGCCTATCCCTCTACCCCTTCCCTAGCTCTACCTCCACGAAATAGGATTTTAAGTTTCAATAAGTTCACTTTTATTGCTGGTCAATTTTATTCTGGTATTAGGTAAGTTGAATCCCCCTTTCAAAAATGATGCTACGTCCCTGGAAATAATTTCCGTTTTAAAAGAATTTTCGGGTGGGCCCCCCCCTTTCAAAAACGATAGCACCCATTGATAACAAGATGTGTTTGTGAAACACTCTTCCTCGTATGGCAGCTTATAGCGTGGGTTGACTTTACGTTTCTCAATTTAAGCAAGTCAAATCCCGAGGTCAAGGTCAAAAGTTTTAAAATTTTTGGCATCCCAATTTAAAGGAAAGTCTTGTCATGACGTAGGAAATTATGAAAACCCAAGTACTAACCGTTAAAAGGTCATGTCACAAGGAAAAAACATGTGGAGTGTCAGGCACGTAGCAACAGAGGGGGGGGGGCTGCCCTCCCCCCACTTTTTTTCCCAACATTACCTTTACTATTGAAAATGTCCATTGAAAGGTTGGTTGCCCCCCCCCCCACACTTCTTACCAAGGTATGGTGATATAAAGGAAATACAGTATTGTGATAGCAACCGTAGCTTTAAAAAATCGTGTTTTATCCAAAAATCTCTTTTAAAATACACTTTTCAATTTTTTAAAATTATTTCTCAGTATTATTATAGATTGACGCATCCTCAAATACCAAAATACCCACAATCTGAATAATAGATGATTTAAAAAAGCATGAAAACTGGGTATTTTATATTGACTTAAGATTTGGTACAGGCTTCGGAAATTTTACTAATTCTAAATTATTAGAGGGCTATTCTGCAAATTACACATGACAACATCTATAGAAATACCTTACTTGTTACGTGCAACCGGACTTTTCAGAGACTATCTTGATTTGGGGTCATAATTTCACTGCTTTACAACTTGTTCTAAGAGTTTTCAACATATTTATTTCTGCTAGCAGCCGTACAATTTTCGAATAGCAACATTGAACGCAGTTTTGTTCCGATAGCAGCCGTTTAGGTACTACACCGTGATTGTATGATTGTATGCCAAAAAAATTGGAAGTGAAAGGAAGGTGGCCTTGAAAAAAGTTGCCCCCCCCCCCCCACGAATAGGATTTTCGAGTTTGGGCAATTTCCTTTTTTTTTTTGCTTGTCAACTAATACAGGTAAGTAAAAAAAATTTCTCTGGTTGCCCCCCCCCCCCACTTTCAAAAACGATGCTACGTGCCTCAGTGTGAAAGCCCTAGCACCATATGTTCAATCAAAACTAAAGTTATGATCAAGGTTGGAATTCTGTGTCAAAGTGGGTCAAATTCTAAGGCAAAGGCAAGAGGTCAAATTTAGTGGTACCCTAAAAAAAGGTCTTGTCACAAAATTCACTGAAATCACAAGGAAAACATATGAATAGGAAAGCCATAACAGTGCCGCCTACTCAAAAGTTTGGGGCAAGATTAACGTTTTATGGACATACAGATGGAAGGACAGGGCAAAAACTATATACCCCCCAAATCTTCGATTACGGGGCATAAAATTTTTTCATTCTTGTCAGTGAAAATTGTTATTTCTGTTCGATCATCTTTAATAATGCAACACTAAATTTAACAGATAATTTTTTTCTGCTACCAATCTCAGCAGTTGGTGGCTACCAAATTTCATTGATGGCAACAAATTTTACAAGAAGTCGATTTTAAATTCACCATTGTAAAATTCTAATCTACTTTTAAATTTTCCCGCCACCATTGGAGAGCACTTGATTTTAATTTTCCCCTTTACAGTTTACAAAGAAGAAGAACAGAAATACAGTAAAATATTTGTTATCCTCTCACATATTATGATAACAAGAAATAAATGGAAAACAAAATAAAAGAAAAATATGGCAAAAATAAACATCCCTTAGTGAGCTGACACTCATGACGACAGCATTGCTGCGCATGCCCACTCATCATCTTCTCGCACTTAGCCGTTCGGCGATACTTACACATCGTGCTGATTGTACACAAAAATAATTTTTACTGAGGATGGATTTAGTAGATGGAGAATCGAGTGTAAGTCAGGTCAGTAATTTGATTGTGCTTTTCTCAGTAAATTGGCGTAGAAAAATTGAATTGAACAGTCGTAGATATTTCTCTGGCGTCGGTAAAAGTTAGGGTAACAAAGGACGATGAAAACGACTAAGTCAAGATGGCCGCAAATTTTCTAAGTCCACATCGACTGTCTGTTTTTTAGCCGATTTTGAAACCAGCATACAAGTTATGAGACAAGAATTTAAATGTTTTAATTGATTGGATCTTTTGATCAGGTAAATATCTTTGTTTTTCTTCCGTTTAGGAAGCCGTCGTGTCCCCGGGAATCCACGATAAGGGTAAGAAAATGCCTCCATCTGCTAAGATTGTAGACATGGCTGCGCGGAGACTAAGTCCTGTCGATATTCCGACTTAGAGCAGAACATGCAGTCACCTAATAACAAACAAGAAAAACACATACATTGAATCAGTAACTTCATATAAATATTTTTAAACACTTTAAGAAGGAGATTAAGAATTTCCTAGATAAATTTGGATAAGATGTAGATAAATGAATATTAATTATTTTGTGGCTTTTAATTCTTTCTAAGGGAAGTAACTCTAAAATGGTATTATGAACTGCATTGTAAAATAAAATGGTCCTTTTTGTTTAGAAAGAAATTGTTTAAATGAAAATTTTTTTTATCAGTTAAAAAGTTTCTTTTTTAAAATTTTTTTTAACTAATTAAAAATATCATATGAAATATACAATCATTGTGAAAAAATTATTTGATTTTTTTTATTGCATTGTTTAGTTGATTTAAAAGCCAAGATGGCAAGCAGTGAAGTAAATCATGCCAATCACGCTGAGCAGAATGGACATGCAACTCTACCGATGATCAAAGATGAAGATAAGCACAAGAGCTCTAAGCATTCCTCTAGCTCTAAGCATGGCTCTTCATCCTCAAAGCACTCAAGCAGCAGTTCCAGCAAACACCATAGTAGCTCAAGCTCATCCAGCAAACACAAAGAGAGCAGTAGTTCTGGTTCCAGCAAACACAAAGATAAGGAGAGGAGCAGCTCAAGCTCAAAGGATAAGAGCTCAAGCAGTAAGCATTCCAGCTCATCTCACAAGTCCAGCTCAAGCAGCAACCATAAAGAAGGTAGTTCTAGTAGCCACAAGGAGGGGAGTTCAAAGGAGAAAAGTTCAAGCAGCAGCAAGGAGCGGGGTTCCAGCAGCCACAAAGAGGGCTCGAGCAAGCACAGCTCATCAAGCAGTCACAAGCACAGCTCGTCTTCAAGCAGCCACAAGCATAAGGACGGGAGCAGCTCTAAGCACAGCTCTTCATCTTCAGAGCAAAAGCATAAAGAGAGAACAAAAGAGGAGGTTGAAAAGGTAAAGGTTAAGTCTGAGCCATCTTCCCCAATAAAGTCGCCAGTACGGGAAAAATCTCCTAGCAAGTCCCCCAGCAAGAAGGAGTCCTCACCTGTTAAACACGTCAAAGAAGAGGAGATGAGTGATGATGAAATACCTTTGGTAAGATTATCGTAACAACTTTACAATATCACATGCCATATAAGTCGCCTGTATTTCTAATGTAGTCTGATGACAACTTTCAATATTAATGTAGGCTACTAGGATAAAGAAGGAACAGCCCCCAGAGAAGAGACCACATGAATCTGACGATGACGATGATGAACCCCTTTCAGCAAGGTAGAGATTCCTCAAATGCTTATCCTCTGAAAATGTATAGTAGATTAAAGATATACACCTCAAATAATTTTCTCGTTTCCCACATAGGAGAGTTACATAGCTATTTTTAGCTCACCTCAACGAAATTGGGGGAGCTTATGTAATACCTTCAGCGTTGGTGTCAGCGTCCCAGGTTAAGGTTAAGTTTTTTGGAGCAGTTTTCTATTTAAGGTCAAGATCTAGTAAATAACTTGAAACTATATTTTTGGTGCTAGATCCATTATGACGTCATAATCAATTTCAACTTTCTTTTTCCCGTACTTTATGGCTTTAGCAGAATTATGTAGGAAATAGGGTATTTTCAAGTCATTCAATTTGAAATCATATGAAAAGTAAACCGGATACCTATATTAAATTTGATATTGATTTAAAGAAGAGGCCATGAACATACTAATTACCATTTTCTGAGAGACTGTAGGCAATCTGGATACATTTCCTTTGCCAAATACGAAAAAAACTCCCATATTTATGTCTGGTTTTCTTAATTTTTCATTGAAAATGACAGTTTGAAATACAGTTTTTCATCTTGTTTACCTACAAATTATGCCCCGAAACACCTTATTTGACCAAGCTAAAGTTGTAAAGCATCAATAAAAGAATTTATTTCTCAAGTTTGATAAATCTGTAGGCACCTTTCATTTACTAGATCTTGACCTTAAGTACAAGTTTCTTTGTCCTTTATTGATTCTAGTGTGTTTCATTGTACCAGTCAAAGTTTCAGATGCTGCAGTTTCAGGGAAGGAATGACTAGGTTAATGTTTTTGGAGCAGGTTAACATTTTTGGTGCAGTTTTTGATGTAGGTCTCATTTCCAAGGAACTATAAGACCTACCGTAATTTTCGGGTCATAGGTCGATGGGGTATATAGGTCGAAAGGCTCATTTTCAGCCTTAATTTTTGAAAAATTCTAAGATAGGACGAACTTACTATATAGGACGAGGCTTTGTTTCCCGTTTTCTAAAGATTCTTACGCAGATACAACGTATCAGAACAGGTAAACCTCTAGAATTACCGGGGTTATTCCGTGACATGAACGTATCAAGAAAACAAACAGTTATTTTAATGAGTACAGCATTTAAATAAAGTTTTTTTTAAAAAATGTAGTTAAAACTTCTTTGAATTGTGTTACTACTTATTTTTCTCCAACTTGCCCGTTCAATGCCTCCGTAGTTTCATACTGTTGTTAAACCACAGGCATAAATAACACGTAAATACGTTCTTATTTTGCAGCTATAATTCGGGAAATACCCGAGAACAAAGAATAATCAGTCTGATTTCAGAACAACTTGGACACATTCCTAATATATTTTATTCAGACATTATTTACCGGTGGACGACAATCGCTTCGATGTCCGCCATTTTCAGTTTTGTTCTTCAGGGATTTGCTAAAACCCGCAAACGACCATTGAATGTATATATAAAACAACAGTAAAGAATTGAAATAATATTACCACGCTATAAGTTTAATTATATATTTAATTGAGAGTACCGGTACATTCACAATTTGACCGTCATTATGAATTTCATGGCTTTGTTTGTTCAATGATGTGTAACACTAATACCCTATAACGGCACGTGGATTTGCTAATCATGCCTGCGGGTATTAAACCAACACAGGCGTTAAAACCTTTGCGTGTACACACAGTGTAAATCCTTTTATCTGTGAGACAATTAAAATTCTGTTAGAAGCCAATCTTTGTATAGCGCTAATTCGTTTGACCGGCATTATAATTAAATAAAATAAAAAAATATATAGTAATGACTATCGGTTTATTTGGTAATTAAATTTAGGAATTGACTGGCAAATATTTATTTCACTCATTTTACACTTAAATAAATATAAGACTGTCACAATAAATAAAATTAATACTATTTCAATTTATCTACTAATAAATGGTAAAACCTTGATATTTTTTCCGTATTTTAAATTTTGATACGGTTGGGGTTTTACTTTTAGTAAACGGTAGTGACTTCCTAACTTCACAAGATGGCTACCGCATGATGGCAATGGATAACACGCTGAGGAATTATTTTTTTGATGAAGCACAGTTTTTTCCTTTGTCATCAACGGATATGTAATGGAATTTATTTTGTAAGAAAGCTATAGAATAAATATTTTATTGTTTACCTGGGCATTAATTTTTCTGCGTAAAATAATGAAAAAAGTTATGAAAGTGGCACAGATTTGCTTTGAAATTGACGTAAATTTTATTGATTTTGGGGCATTTTTCGTAAACTTGAACCTTAGAAAGGTCGAAATCGTATATTGGTCGACCTCAGCGGCTCTGAGAAAAAAAGTACCGACCTATAATCCGAAAATTACGGTATGTTGACCAAACTTGCATGGATGATACATCTAAAGATGCACACTACCAGGCTTGCTTCGGATGCTGAATCTGACCTACATTTTGCATGAGTGAACAGGTTAAAAGTTTTAGGTGTAGGTCTTATTTCCAAATAACCATGAGCCCTATGTTGACCAAACTTGCATGGATGATACATCTAAGAATGCACACTACCAGGCTTGCTTCGGATGCTGAATCTGACCTACATTTTCTGGTTGAGTGAACAGGTTAAAGTTTTTGGTGCAGGCTTCATTTCCAAGGATGGATGGTACATCTTAGTATGCATACTACCAGGCTTGCTTCGAATGCTGAATCTGACCTACATTTTCTGGATGAGTGAACAGGTTTAAGTTGTTGGTGCTGGTTTCATTTCCAAGTTACTATGAGCCCTATAATGACTAAACCTGCATGGATGATACATCCTAGGATGCATACTACCAGACTTTCTTTGGATGCTGAATCTGACGTACATTTTCCGGATGAGTGAACAGGTTAAAGTTTTTGGTACAGGATTCATTTCCAAGTAACTACAATGTATGAACTCTTTAATGACCAAACTTGCATGGATGATACATCTAAGAATGCATTCTACCAGGCTGGTTTCGGATGCTGAATCTGACCTACATTTTCTGGATGAGTGAAGAGGTTAAGTTTTTATGCAGGTTTCATTTCCAAGTAACTATGAGCCCTTTGTTGTGCAAACCTGCATGGATGATACATCTTAGGATGCACACTAATGGACTTGCTTCGGATGCTGAATTTGACATATATTTTCCAGATAATGGACCAGGTAAAAGTTATGGGTGCAGGTCTATTACCAAGAAACTATAAGGCTTATATAAACCAATCTTGCACAAATAATGCCTCAAGGGATGAAAACTCTCAAACTTGCTTCAGATGCTGAATTTTAATTACATTTTGTTATGAAGATTGAAGAACTAGTTTGAAGTTTTTATATAGGTCTATTCCAAAGTATCAGATCAAAATTGCATAAATTTTGCATTTTTGGATGTACACTCTTTGTTGGGTAATTGTGTGACTTTGCCTTACTTAAATACAACATTCGTTGAGGTGAGCTCTATAATCTCTGATTACCTATGTTTAAAAGTATTCTTTTAACTGAAATCTAATCTGGAAACTTTATTAGTGTAAAAAGAGACTGTTGAAAAAATTCTTCGAACATGTCGAAATTTTATGATCAGAAAAAGCCATTCATTTTTAGAAAACTATATTGTCTTAAAAATTTCAAATTCACCATTTTTCACCAAATAACGTAGCTCTGTCAAACATCAGGGCTCATTTCTGTCAGAGAAGCGTAAGTTTATAAGGAAGTTGATAATCATAATGTGTCCCATGTCCACCTCTTTTAAAAAGGAAAAAAGGGGGATAATTGGTTTAGAGTTAATTTATTTTCAAGATGGTACACCTCAGAAGACAATTCAAAAATATATAATTTAAGTTATGTAAATTAAGGACCATCAATACACTGCACACAAAAAAAGAGTCATAAGTGATTATGCAGAAAGACTTATATGCCCTTAGATCTCAATTGAATTTATTTAAATTGAAATAGATCTGCAATTTATATCACTTAATTTGAAATCAAGACTTCCTAGCACTCTATATTTGGCCTTAGATGAAATTATTAATTGGAAGGTAAACTTTATCTTCGTTTCAAAAGTATTCTTAGTGAAGGTAAAACTGAATTTGAAATGTGTTAGTAAGAAAAGTATTTTTTTTTAGAATTGAAAAAGAGAAGAAAAAGATAAAGAAAGAAGCAAAAGTAGAAAAGCCCAGCAGTGCAAAAAAGAGGAAAACTAGTGACTTTGATGATGAGGTTCCTAAGGTAGGATCTGAAAACCAAGCAGAGATTTATATTTATACTTACACAACAAACACACTCAAAACTTCTCACAATAAAACTTTAAAAAAAAAAAAAAAAAAAAATGTTTAAAAAGACGTATCTTAATTTGTTCAAAGAAGTTTGTTGAAAAATCTTGTTTAAAATGATTTATATGAGTATCTCTTTTACAGAAGAAGAAGAAGAAGGTGAAGACTGAAAGTGGAAAACAAGAAAACAAATCGCCCTCCAAGAAAGTGAAGGAGGAGGAGACACATGAAGTTTGGAGATGGTAGAGTATCACAAAGTATATAAGGCCAAGCTTAAAAAATTCTTTGTTTGCAGTTGCCGACCTATAATCTTTTGAATGGGTAGGTAGGTAGGCATTCTTTTTTTTTTGGAATTCAGTTTTTGGATATTTGTGAGATAACAAATAATAGAGCTTTTCATAGGTCTACTAAACAAGAATAATCTTGTATAAACCACAGACTGATAAAAACAAAAACTAAAATCAAACAGTTTTAATATCCTGAAAATTAAAAAAAAAATTAATATAACAAAATGGCCCCAAAAAAGTTTGGGTCAGGTGAATTTTCAGTGGGTCAGTAGGCAACTGCAAACAAATCAATTTTTATATGGGTCTTAGAAACTTTCTCTCTATAACTGTAACAGATGATAGATTACACATAAAATGTTTTATGCCTACTCTCTGTAGCTGTATTTAGTGAGAATCGATGTGAAGATGTACTATATTAAGACAAGTCAGGTACCATACATTTTTACATATCTTGATCTGCTTTGATTGCTTTGTGTAGGTGGGAGGAGGAACGTAGGGATGACGGAGTGAAGTGGCATTCACTGGAACACAAAGGACCATTATTTGCCCCTGATTATGAACCACTGCCAGACGACATCAAATTTTACTATGAAGGTACGGCATTTTATGTCCCTTGTCTTCCTTTTGTCAGCAATATCAATAGAAAAAAAGGTAAAAGTAAACACTTAATAAATTGAATGTACTGTATTTTATTTCCCTTGTCTTCACTTTTCTACAACTTAAAAAGAAAAATTTTAAGAGTAAATACTTGATAAATTCTTATTTGACAGGTAAAGTGTTTAGATTGTCGGAGCCTGCAGAAGAAGTGGCCACTTTTTACGCCAAGATGTTGGAGCATGATTACACCACCAAGGACGTCTTTAACAAGAACTTCATGAAAGACTGGAGAAAGGTGAATAAGTAAACATGTCACAGGTCAAAAGACTGGTGATAGTACTAATCCATTGTCAAAAGTTCAGAAGTTTGGAATCAGGTAAAATGATGGAGAAAGGTAGATAACCACAGGTGAACACTGGTCAGAAAACTAGAAATAGGATTATTCAACGTTATCACAGGTTAAAAAAATAACAGAAAAAAGTAGGGAAAGGCATACATGTTAACCTATTGGGATGAAAAAGAGGGAGATTCAGACCTCAAAAGCGGTAGCATTGCGCGCGTGTTGTTTAACGCTTGGATTATCAATATCTTTCATGTAATATACATGTATATTATAAGCCTTAAATGAAATCAGGTACCTGAACTAACTAATCTTAAAACAGCAAAGAAGAAGACAGAAACACCTTAAGTTTGACATAAATTGTACAAATTCAAATATTTTTCATGCTCATCATTTTGCTTGGATTGGCTGCTTTACTTAGCCTTTTGAAGAGTGATCTTTGCTGAAATAGCCTAGAAGCAATAATTCTGAATGTTCATTCAGTTTTTAAACAAATGATGGCATGGTTTAATCTAGATCCAAAACAAGTTCGTATCTATAAATCAGATTTCCCGCGATGATCGAAAACGAATTAGAGATGTGCCACATGGCTTGGTCAATCGAGTGAATTCTATTGACTTTACTGATAAAGTTGTGAGCTTCTGTGCTTTTAAAGACGATGTCAAATGTTTTTATCTAATTCTTAAAAGCTGTATCTCCTTTTTCATGGCAGGGATGTTGATTAATTTATCGTAACCAATGTAATCACTGGTAGTCTTATGTTGTTGTCGTTGTCAAATCGGTGCTTGAAATCAATGTACAAAAAAGCGTTTGTATGATTCCTAGTCAAATCACGCGATATCTAGCGAGATTTTATGAGAGTGGCTTCAAAAATGGATACCCAAGCGAACCAAAAATACTTTAAACGCAGCTTTTGTAGAAAAGCGGTAGATTTCTGAATTAAATCGGTAGGCGGGAGATGGAGTGAAAAAGCGGTAGACTCCCGCCTAAATCGGGAGAGTTAACATGTATGGGAAAGGTAAACAATCACAGGTGTGCACTTGTCAGAAAACCAGAGATACATGTAGGAGAATAATTACAGTTGTCATAATTACAGGTAAAAAAAAAAGGGTCCAGAGGAAGTTGATTATCATTTACACTGTCATAAGCATTGAGGAATAGAAATAATAAATCTTTGTTTTCACAGACAATGACATCTGAAGAGAGGGATTTGATCAAGGATTTGAAGAAGTGCAACTTTAAGGAAATGGCCGAGTATTTCAAGCTCAAGTCTGAGGAAAGAAAAAATCGCTCTAAAGAAGAAAAAAAGGTATTGAATGGGGATGTTTGTTATTCATTTCAAAACCAGAAGTAAAATCCACTCTATTACTTTACTGCACGGCTTACATTTTAATGTTTTCAGGCTGAGAAATTGAAAAATGAAGAAATTCAGAAGGAGTATGGATTTTGTACAATGGATAACCACAAGGAGAAGATTGGTAACTTTAGGATAGAACCTCCCGGTCTCTTCCGAGGTCGAGGGGACCACCCCAAGCAGGGCATGCTGAAGACAAGGACCCTCCCCGAGGACGTTATCATCAACTGTAGCAAGTAAGTTACGGGGGTCAAAAGGTCAGGTTGTAGCAAGTGAGTTACAGGGGTCAAAAGTTCAAGTTGTAGCTAGTGAGTTACAGGGGTCAAAAGGTCAAGTTGTAGCAAGTGAGTTGCAAGGGTTACTAGAGTTAGCAGGTACTGAAGTGGAAAATAACTTAACACTTGTGTGATGTATGGGTAGACTGTATGAAAGTTTGACCTTGTATGTTTTATTTCAGGGGTTCAAAAATACCTAGCCCTCCACCTGGACATAAATGGAAAGAAGTGCGACATGACAACAAGGTATGAGTTGTGTTAATTTAGGCCATAATAAATAAATTGCTAGATTCTCATCCGAATTTTTTTAAAAATCGTGACGGGCGGGCGGCTTTTATTTTATATTTTTTTATTTTTTCAATTTTGCAGATTTTTTATTGACCTGGTCGTCAATCGGTGTAATTTTATCTACAATACCCGAATAAAAGTCATAGTAAAGGTTTAATTTCTCTTCACATCATCACCAATCTTTTTCAACCAATGACCCTTGCTTAAAATATATACGCATGTACATGTATTACAGCAATTACCATCTTTTCAGCTATCAAAGTCATGTCGACTTTCGCGGGATTTAAAACAAAAGTAGAATGGTAGATGAATACCGATCACGATCAGAATTAAGACGAAGGAAAACAGAAATTAAAAAAATCGAGGCGGGGTATAAAATCGGGGCGGGCGGGCGGGGATGAGAATCTTGGAATATTTTTATTACGGCCTTATGATGATATATGATATTTATGATAACCTTATCTTTGTACAATTAAATTAATGGAATCTTGTGGTTGCAGGTGTCTTGGCTTGCCTGCTGGAATGAAAATATCCAAGGGAGTACTAAGTATGTCATGTTGAATGCAGCCTCCAGACTAAAGGTGAGGAAAAGTTAACATATATTGTTGATATGAATATGACAAATTGGTCTTGTGTGATTAATAAACATAATTCATGATCTGACAGGGAGAGAAAGATTGGCAGAAGTATGAGACAGCTAGAAGACTACATAAATGTGTGGACAAGATTCGAGCCCAGTACAGAGAGGACTGGAAGTCCAAGGAAATGAGGATCAGACAGAGAGCTGTGGCTCTATACTTCATTGATAAGGTAAGACGGTTATATCATGAAATTCTCCTCTCTTCTTTCAAAAAGGAAAAATTTCCTTCAAAACAATCCCTCCTAAGAATTTATTTTGTTTCAATATCTGCATTTTTACATATTGTATTTTCATTTGGCCCTTATACACTGATCTGAAATGCTTATGTGTTGTATTATATAGCTTGCCTTGAGAGCTGGTAATGAAAAAGAAGAAGGCGAGACCGCAGACACTGTGGGTTGCTGTTCTCTAAGGAAGGAGCATTTAAACCTCCATGAGAAGTATGATGACCAGGAGTATGTGGTAGAGTTTGATTTCCTGGGTAAGGACTCCATCCGATACTACAACAGAATTCCCGTGGAGAAAAGAGTCTTCAAAAATCTGCAGCTCTTCATGGAAAACAAAGCAGGAGATGATGATGTCTTTGATCGTCTTAATGTAAGTTTGAAACTTGATTTATTGTCTATAAAATCTTTAAAATGCATAACCTCTGACTGGAATGAAAAAAAATCTCTAGCAATAAAATTTGAATGAAAAAAAGAAAATGTAAAGATAGAATTAAAGTTTGTGTCTGATTATTAAAAATAGCCCTTTATTTTTAGACCACTATTTTGAACAAACATCTTCAGGAACTGATGGAAGGCCTTACAGCTAAAGTTTTCAGGACGTATAACGCTTCACGAACGCTGCAAGAGCAGCTCAATATCTTGACAGAAGGTAGAGATTTCACAGTCTATCAGACGTTAATTTAGCAATGTTTCTGTAGGAGAGATTCTGACGTGTTTTTATGTTTACAGCTGATGATGGTGTGGCGGCTAAGTTACTGTCCTACAATCGAGCTAACCGTGCTGTCGCCATCCTGTGTAACCATCAGAGGGCCGCCCCCAAAAACTTTGGTAAACAGATGGAGAACTTACAGAACAAGGTGTGTAACTCTTACAGTGCTCAATAAGTAACTAATTATTGGAAGTAATGGGGATAATGTCCCCTCTTTTGTTATTTCACATTTGTCAGTACTATTTGTATGATTCTTTCTGTCTGGGATGTTTGTAATTTTTTTCTGCTCTATGTATAGTTGTTAGACCATGTGAGATGTTTGTATTTCTGGTGTATTTTGTCAGATTGAGGATAAGAAAGCCGCCATTAAGGAAGCCAAGAAGAATGTGAAGGATGCCAAGGCCGACTACAAGGCCACCAAGACAGAGAAGGCTAAACAGTAAGATATAAACAATACCACTACAATAACAATAACACTACAGACAACATGGCAGATAACAACACAAGGCCACCAAGATAGACAATAACACAGGGGTGTAGAAATAACAGTACCATAAAAGTGGAATACATTGCAGGGGGTTTAATTTCACGGTGTTCACAATCAAACAATGTTCCTCCCATACAATGTTGTATGCTGTAATACACCGTTTTCAGTTTCCATTTTAGTAATACTGTAAATTTGAAACATATAAGGTTTATAACTATGGCTGATTAAAAATAATTTTTGGATACATTTGTTATAAGTAAAAGAAATTCAGTGACTGTGAAATTTAAACCACTATGCATTGTACCAACATAAAAATTCTTGAAATATTAAGTAGATTGAAAGATTTTTATTGTAATTTAAAAAAAAAATGATCTGGAAAGACATAAAACATTGACAAAAGAACATGGAATGTGAACATTGTTTTGTAAGGAAGAATGTATTTCAGCTTTATTTATTTAGAGTTGAACTGCAATATTTTTAGTTCATGAAAATTTTAGTATTAAAGCAAACTATAAATCAATCATTCAGGGCTCTGACAAAAAGGAAGACCCAGTTGGAGAGATTGGAAGAACAACTGACAAAGCTGGAGGTTCAGGCCACAGACAAGGTAACGGTGTACTTCTGTCATATAAAGAATTTCCTATCCTAACTTTGTCAGTGCCTGGAAACTGTTAAGAGTTGTCATACACTCAATGAATAATTCTAGAAATTGTTTAAATTTAAACATTTTTTTCAACATACGAAAAACAAATTTGAGAGTCTGCATGTGCTTATTTGTCTTTTTTTGCAATATAAGTAGAAAAAATAAAAATTTAGCAGAATTTTGGGGGGAATATTAGTATCTCACTTATAGCAGATGGAAAGGGAGAGAACTTTGTAGACCTTATTTTTAAAGCATGTTTAAAGTACATGTATATCCTGATATTCCACATTTTGTCACAGCTTCTGAAGAACATTTTATCTAGCAATTAGATACTTTTTATAATGCTCTTTAATTTACATGCATTAACAGCATCTTGATTAAATTTTATTTTAATAGGAAGAAAATAAAGAAATAGCCCTTGGAACCTCCAAACTTAACTATCTGGATCCCAGAATTTCTGTTGCATGGTAGGTGAACATGTTTTTTCCTCATTATTTTAAACATTATGTGGCTCAAACCTGCAGACTATATCAGAAATAAGATTTGCTGATACAATATGTAACTCATTTCAGGTGCAAAAAATGGGAGGTCCCTGTAGAAAAAATCTACAACAAAACCCAGCGTGAGAAGTTTAGGTGGGCTATAGACATGGCGGAAGCTGACTATGAATTTTAACAACAGTGATGCATTAGCTGAAGGAAGAATTCTTTATTATGGATACAATGGGCATGACTGTATTAGACATTATCTGATGCAGATACTAATGTGTACTTGATGCAAATGATTAATTGGATATTGTGCCAGATAAACTTTATAGATTATTCCATTGAAAGAAATATAGTCATCAGATCTTGTTAATGAAGAAAGAATTGTATAAATTACATTTTTGTAATATAAGCATTTCTGTAGATTTATAGGAAAGTATTAATTTATGGTCTACAAGACTTGTATATTTGCATCCTTCTAAATAGTTTGACAGAATGTTAAGTATGCTGCATGTTTTAAATTATGAATATTTTAAATCAGTTTTGTCAATGAATAGAAGGCATTTTAATCATGAATTGAATCCTGATTGCTAATTTCATCATGTTTTACTGTATATTTTTAAAAGAACAGAAGAATGAAATGTGTGTTAGTGTGTTACACAAAATAAAACAATTTTTGCTGTATTAGGTATAGTAGGCTCTTGTCATTATAAAATGATGCATATTTTCTGAAATCATTACTGAAGTCTAATTTTATTTTTTTTTCTTAGTTGTTCCCTTTTAAAAACTTCTTTTTAGGATTTTAGATTTAAATGTGTAAGAAGACAAACATTTATTAAAAGAACATAACTAATGACTGTATGGTGCCAGCCATTTTAAGTATGGTGTGAATTATGTACACTGCAGTAATATTTAACTTCATATTGCTTAAAGAAAAAACAGGAATATAAAGTCATTATTAGCAATCTCACCATTGTAAACAGGCTATACTTTCTCTGTACATAGATATAGCAGCATGGTTTAACTTTTAATGGAAGTCCTTTACTTTGTAGCATGTATTAAAGTTATAGATAATGTGGTAAAAATTTTGATAGTAAATATTTTTTTTATCAAATATGCATGTCAACAATTTTGAAAAATAACTTTACTTACAGTTGTAACTTTGAATGAAAGATTAGTTTGCTCACAATCTCTACTTCTGCAGTGGGATTGGTTTGAAAATATTTTTTATTCTTTTTTTTTAAAAAAAGATTCCTGTAATATTTTTTATTTCAAAATATTCATCAGATAACTTCTGTTCAAAATGTTCATTAAAGAACTGTATATATAACAAAGAGCAACAAAGTGCCTGACAACATAGGAGAGTTATGGTCCTTTATTAGTCTACCTCACGTCTGGCACTTATTTTATGTTTATAACACAACATATCTGTCATAAATGTCAAAGTTTTGCATGTCACAGTAGATGCTTTTAGTCTTTCATTTACACATATTTTATTCCAAACACCGAAGACATTTGCCTTTTCATGTATCAGCATGTAAAAATAGATCTCATAAGTTCAAAAAAATATTTCTCAAACATAAATTGTAAATTAGAAGTTGGTAGGTTGTGTCTATTGATTGAAGAGAAATCCTTATCAAATTCCACGGTATTTTTTTTTTGATATTCCATTACGTCTTGTAAATCGGTATCATTCTGTGATGTGTTGACAAGCTACGTTATATCTGTGTGATACATTTGTTTTTGAGCTGTTTTGTCGTTATCAGATGAAATGTACACAACCAATAAAATATCAGACATCTTGTTATTACTGTCCAAATAAACTTGGTATGAATACATCTTGTTTTGTTATAAATATAGTGGCTACTGGTTAGGCTTATGAACTTTGTTATGTATGCGGAACATACACAGGGACCAGCATCACACAATGTTCAAATTTTATGTAACCACTTCAAATCCTTTTAGTGCACGTATATATATAGTGGTGCTAACATAAAATCAAATATAGAATGTTACTGGCCCCTGTGGCTACATACATGTAGTTTGAATTTGTTTAGGACTTCTAATACTTGAAGGATACTTGAAGGACTGTGTGCTACTCTTAATGTCTACATATGGTGCTGTACAATCTTGAATAGATGTCAAATAATTTTTACCCATTATTCTCTGGGTATGTTAAAAGAACCCCAGAGATTGTCAACCGAAAAAGAAGTCCCCATGACCTTTTGAAACTTCATGGCTATATTTACATGAAAATATTTAAGATATTAATTGGCCTAGAATTATTGTACTTCACTTGATGCATCTTTGGTCCTTGTAATGTGTCAACCTTAAAGTAGGTCATGTTGATCTACTCTTGGAATTTTTTGACTATATCTTTATATTTCAAGTACATGTAATAAGAGGCTTAGAATCATCAAAATTTGTTAGTTGATGCATCTTGATTTAGGAGTATTTTTAAAATGCAGGCACACAGCAATGTGAAAACCCCCCTCTTTTTTTCCCAACATTACTTTTACTATTGGAAATGTTTAAACTTTATTGAAAGGCTGGTTGGCCCCCCACTTTATGAAAAGAATGATATAAAAATGTATTGAATGCAAAACAAAATTGATATGAAAAAAGTCCTAGGTCCCTTTAAAACTTGCTGCAATTTTTATGGTAATTGAAGTTTAGAGACTGTCTCAGACATGTGCATCAGTATTCTCACGTGCTAAGCTGTTCCTGTAAGTTATTTATCCATAAAACTAGATGAAATGTTCATAACATTAAGAATAATATTACTATATAAGACACCCCACTGCTAGATATCACTGAAAGAATTCATGAGGTTTCCTTGCCATAATAACCTGAACAGTTGCTGTAGTTATCTAATTCCATTCATGTCTAGTAATGCATGTGGCTGTTCACCCTCATAAAGCCAGGGCTCCTGAATCAACACTTTGCATTTGGACCCCTAAGCTAGCATATTTCATTCAATATCTGTGGGCTCGCTTCTCTCTTTAAGAAGCACCAAACAATTAAAAGCTTTCAAAAATAGATAAGGATTCAGTTGACACCTCAAATGCACAAGTTTATCATAGAACGGCATAATGTGATTGGTTGAGAGACAAGAAAAACGATCAAGATTTGTAATTTTTCTGGATTTTAAGACATCGCTACGGTCAGCCAACGAATATCTAATGAAATGTGGCAGGAGTCGAACGGCAACTTGTTGACTCAGGACCCCTTGCCTGGGAGGATGGTGTTCTGTTCTTAAAATGAAAACTATGGAACAGTAGATTTACATAAATTTGTAATGTTTAATGTTAAACAGGTATCTACATTGTGTACATTATGATTATAACAGTATTGCACAATCAAAAAGAAAAATGGCATTGGTTCCTCATTACTCAGTCATGCATCATGGATATTACCACATTCTCAAATGTCCTGTAAAAGAAAGCAAATAATAGCAAGGCAAGCAATACGTATAGTTCTAAAAAAAAAAAAACAATAAAATAAAATAAAATTTAAGGAGACAAAATACACCTAATGGAAGATGTATGATCTTAAGGCTGATTAAGAAGATAAATAATTTGTTCATAACTTCACATTTGTAGTAAATACTAAAATGTCTATCATGTAGGTAAAGGATTAAAACAAAAGAGAGAGGTTTTCTTCACTAAATTATACGTCAAGTTAACTCACTGTGATGTAATATTTTCTCCTGGTGTGTAGAAAGGATTACATAACATGTCCACATACGCATTGTGCAATTTTCTGAACATCTGGAAAATACATTACCTCACCATTACTTAATTTCAACAGAATCATGTGATTTCAATAAATATTGATGCAATATGAGGGTTGTCCCAATAAATCATAGGAGGAAAATAATTTAGTTTTTCTTTGCTTATTTTTAATGAGGAGGAATTTCAAGTTTCATGATAATTACACATAAAATAAGAAAATAATGTTAAAAAAAGCATAAAAGTGTTTGTAGGCACAAGAAAGTGAACATAATTTATATTGCATTATAATGCCATCATCATTTTTTTCAGTACGCCTATGAATGAATTACTCTACTTCTTATATGATTCTGTGTGGAGGTGAAAAATACTTTTAAGGATAGTCCTCCGCCAGGATAACTCCAAAAATTAATATTTAATTTGAAATGCATCAAAAAGAAGCTTGAAAATGAATTAATCTTATAAAAACAGTACTCTACTTTTTATATGCCAATCTATATTCTGTGTGGAGGTGAAACTGTCTTTGAATTTCTAAAATATATTTGTTGATTAATTTGCAATTAGAAAATGCACTTTTAATTCTACAATCTTTTTTAAAGAAATTGTGGATAAATTTACATAAACCTTTTTTATATATCTAATTTTATAAACCTGAGGATCGGACTACCTTAACTCTACAATTTTTTGGGACAACCTTTTTAAATATATCTATACATTACTGTCACAGGCACCTGACGTTACTTATATTTTTTATAATAACAAGAAATGTTTGTAAAACACTTATGCCCCCCTCCCCCCAAATTGGAATTTTTCCAAGTCCAAAAGGGCAAAAATGGCGCAATTGTACCCAAAAAAGAAACTGACTTAGATATTCATCTGATAAATCTGTATACTAAATTTCATTTCAGTATGTGTCATGGTTGCCAAGAAAATGAACGGAAACTGCAAATAATTGGAATTTTTCTATGTCTAAGGGGGATAACTCTGTCAAAAATGGTGCAATTGTACCCAAAAAAGAAATTGACTTAGATATTCATCTGATAAATCTGTATACCAAATTTCATTTCAGTATGTGCAACGGTTGCGAAGAAAATGAACGGAAACTGCAAATAATTGGAATTTTTCTAATTCCAAGGGGCATAACTCTGTCAAAAATGGCGCTATCGTAACCAAAACAGAACTTGGCCTAGATAATTCATCTGATATATCTGTATACCAAATTTCATTTCAGTATGCGCAATGGTTGTGAAGAAAATGAACGGAAACGAAGTGGACCAACAGACCAACCGACAGACCGACAGACAGCAGCAAAGCAATATGCCCTCCCTTCTTCGAAGGGGGGCATAAAAATATACCCCCTACCTAATTATTAGGTAGGGGGTATATTTTTATTATTAAAAGAAAAATAAGTAAAGTCAGATGCCTGCAATTACTGTCAGTTATCAGTTTTGAAATACAGTAAAACTTGCTTATAATGAACACACTTATAATGAAATGACAATTACAGCGAAGTGATTTTCACTCCCCATAGCTTTAAATTATATTGTGAACTTATCTGATATAAAGAATTAAAATGTTTATAATCATCCCTGGCACTTTGTTATAAGCATGTTGATCTTTACCATCATCTAAAGCTTGCAATTCTACAAGTATGGCTGTAAACAGCTAGGATAAGGCTACCCATAAAATATCAAACTGTTCAAATTGTAGTAGCTTCTCTGAACTACCTAGATATGACGTCATAATAGAATATGACGTCAAGTCACTGTACACTTGAGCTGACATGATGGGGAAAGTGTCATAATTTTTACATAGCATGTAGATTTATTTTGGGGACTTGTTGTTTAATTCAAGTGTTAGGATTGTTTTTTAAGCTCGAGTGTGCAGTTATGATGTTGAACATTTGAAATTTAAATATCCCTATTCCTTTCGCTGGTCTGATATGCACATATTCAAACAATAGCGAAAAATTATGTGTGAAACACTCCCCTTATACGTCCGTAGACAGAGTTAGAAGTTTTGAATCGTGTTTATATTGGACTGTCACAAATGATATACAAGGACAAATTGAAGATATTCTGTGTGAATCTACGAGAGAAGTATGTCCTCTAACTGAATTTTGCTTGGGGATTGTGTGTAGTTTATCCATTTTTGTACAAATCACGATAAAGAGTGGAAAATACCCCTTCCTATGTTGGTAAGTTTAATTTCTCGTAAAATATTTTCTTAACGAGTAAAAATTAAACCTGTCCCCAGTACTTTCTATGTCCCAGAGATCAGGATGAATTGATCTATGTAACAAACTTTGCACAATATTTTTGTTTTGCACTTGTGCTGAAGCGATTTTTGTGCAACAATTAGGAATATCATAAATCTACGTCACATGATCAACACAGTCATTTGACATCAGAAAAATGCTTTAAAATAAAATCTGATTAAACTATTTTCTCAAGTTGACTGCAATTTCAAACAAGGATTACATATTAAAATTAAAATCTAGCTCAAAATAAAATGTATATTTTTGTTAGGCATTTTAAGCCTTCGGATAGCCTTATCATAACTGCATAAGTAACAAACTAATTTTTAAAATTTTGAGGAGTAGTTTTCCATACTTACACTTCTTATTTCATTGTCCCTTAAACTTGAATTAATGGATTCTACAACAATTACAAATTTCACTTTGGTATTTGTGACATAGCCATATCTAATATTTCAGTTAAGGACACAGAGCAATAATAAAATATATAATTTAATATAAACATAAATTTGAATTAATTTAAAACCTCTGCACAATCCCTTCTTTGTGAGTTGAGGGATGTGTTATTTACTGAGCGCGATTGTAAAGGATACACTTTGTAGTCTTCTGTTGGGTATAACAGTCCAAGGTACAGTTCTCGAAGTTCATTTGTGTTTTTCCCCACGGAGGAAATTTTCTCTTCTACAACATCAAGTGAGGTATGTACAGTGTAGTAGAATTTCAATTCATTATCTGTTGGAATGGTCTTGATAAAAAGTGGGTAGTTCTGAAAAAGAAATGAATACACATGTACATGTATTGCAATAAAAAATAGTTTATTGCCAATCAAAAGCCCCCAGAGAGACATGAAAGGTACATTATTTAGCAGACAAAGGCAGTATAATCAATAAGGAGATGAAATAAAATTGTGTAAAGTAAAATACACAATTACAGGAGGAATTAAAATTACTTTCTATGTAAATTATTGTACAAAAAGCTGTAGTGATAATATTGTTCAGAACTATTCATCCAAATACCTACATAGAATGTCCAATCGTAAAAATGTTTATGTCCTAAAGACCAAGTAAATTAGATACAATATTAGTGAGGCCAGATGGCTTAATTGTCCCTAGACACAACCTAGACAAATTTTATTCTATTAACGGTGTAGAATTATATTACTTGCAATAATGACATGTTTTTTTTCCCTGTTGTATTTTATCTGTTCATTTGATTTCTTATTTTGACTGTATACCAACATGGTGATGTCAATCAATAGAAATTGAAATAAACCACCAAATACATGTCTATCTCAGATGGTTTATATCAATATTACAACATTGGAAACTTCAAAAATTATACTTTTTTTGGAAAATAATCTCAGACTTATGAAAATATATAGACAGACTGATTATGAATTGATAGATTTGCTGCATATGGAAAAAAAAAAGTAAAGAAAAAAGCTCTTAATGTAGTTTCATCAAAAGGTAAGTAACTTAGTGATTGTTTTGTCCGAAAAATGAAAGTAATCAGATTATTGTGCTTCAGGAAAAACAACAACATTACCTCTTTTGCGATGACAGCCACACAAACTGCCATGATGGTGAAACAAAACCGAAAGTAAAACCATTCGTACTGAGAATAATTCGAGGAAGGTAAATATTACATAATGTGATAAAATATGTCAAAATGTTTGGTTTTTAGGTACGCCAAAAAAATGCTTATTATTGTTACAAAAATATAAACGTGATAAAAACTTGATTAGCAGTTGAAATATCATTCTTTTGCATTTTGACACTTTATTTACTTTTACTTTCATTTTGTCTGCAATGGCAGTGAAGAGAGTGGCGGTGATCGGGGCTGGAGCAGCCGGCCTCTGCTCTGTACGTCATCTCAGTGCCAGCCCTGATCTCTTTAGTGTAGTTTGTTTTGAACTAAGCTCTACTGTAGGGGGGACATGGAATTACACGGACAACACAGGGAATGATAAGAACGGTCTACCAATCCAGTCCTCCATGTACAAAAATCTCAGGTCAGTTACATCACGCCCTCTTGAAGTCTCCTTTGTAATTAAGTCTTCTTATTGAATATTAATGGTAAAACAGATACGTGAGCTCTCTGTCTAGCTCCGTTTTCTCTTCCCTTTATTACTATGAATGTTTGGCAAACGGAGGTGGTGTTAATTTGATTAGGTGGAGGAATGGCTTTCATATGATATTTCAGATTGCGCGAGACTGCGGTTCATCAGCAGTTTTATACATAATTTCTGTGGAGGTTGCAATCCGCTTACAGCTAAATATAAAGTCTTATTCAAGGTCATGGAGCAGTTAATTATTGGTGGCACATGCTTGGCAGGATTCAAACCTTTGACCATGTTGACCTTGCAATTCTTAGTTAGACAAGTCAATCGGCCCACTGAACCATTTTTCCATGGAAAATGCAATTAAGAAACAATACAACCATTGAGTTAAGCCTTTCTTTCGAAAATAAAATTGTTTTAAACACAGGACTAAAGCATGGTCAACCCAACTAAGGCCATAATACCAAAACATTCTAGAGTAGATTAATTCTCATGTATCTTCACCTATCCCAAGTGGGTTTTTTTAATGGTCTCATTTTAATCTTGATTATCTCCCATATACAGTGTATTTAATAAGGGACTATGGACAGAATTTCAATACATGTATTGACTGTAGATTATGTATCTGTCCAACTTATTCATTTAATGAATGATCATCGGTAACTGGAAATTCCAGAAGCCCCCCGTTTTTTGGAGAATACCCATACAGGAGGGTAGAAGCCCCAATAAAGTGGTAGAAGCCCCATAAAATTGAATGATTTAGGGTACATAAAACCCTAAGGTGATGTTTAAATGACTTATATTGATATCCGTAAACTTTTATAGCCAATCTTACCTCCGAGTCGACAGAAATCGGGCGCCACTTCTTCTATTCTTCATATACCGTACACCACGCCCGATCTAAAATCGCGATCGCTGAAGTCGTTTCGAGTAAATCATTAGCGTAATCTTGATCAAAAGTGAATAATATAATATATGATTTTTATGTTCAAAAAAAAAAATATGAAAGGAAAGTTAAGACTATAAACGAAGCATTAAATATTTACATATTTCCTAAATGAAATAAAATATGAATTATGATTTAATGTGAACATATGTCATTGCCTACTTGAATACTTTTATACACACTTGTTTGTACCTACCAAAGATAATTTTATATCGAAAATCATTATGGAAAATATGAAAATATTTGTATAGCTGATGATGTGTACTGTCACATAAAAACGTTGTGATTTAACCTGTTGATAGACATTACAGTGAAAATACTAATTGATTGATTTTTTTAATGAATTTAACTAGGCAATTAATCAATTAATAAAGTTCCTTTTTTCTAATTCCAATCATTTATAATATATAATTAATTAATACTAAGTAATTAAGATTAAGTAATTAATCAAGTTGTTAATTTAATTAATTTCTAAGGTATTTAATTTTTTTTGTCTTTCTATTTTTATTTAAATTTGAAATTCAGTATTCATGCATTCATTATTATTTTCCAGTTACTTAGATTTGTTTTTTATTGGTTCTGTTTTATTTGGGGGAGTTCTTTTTTTTTTAATTATTATTTGTGTGTGTGTGTGTGTGTGTGTGTGCAATAAAAATAATTATATTCATTGATATTAGAAAGCAATATGTATCCATTAGAATGAAATTATTAGAATCCAGGTTTATGAAATGAAAAAGTTTCATAAAAATTAAAAGATGTGCATAATTGCTAAGCACTTGTAAAGTGGGTATTATGAGAATATGGTGAGAATATTATTTAAACATCAGCTAGCTGTGTTGTGTTGTTTTGTACTGGGATAGAGAGGCACCCCAGTGTGTGTGTGTACATGCACTATATACACAGCTGTTGACACTTGGTCAAGTTGACAATAAACTCCTTTTGTTCAAACACCTGTTCTCAGCTAGTCTGACCAACCCCCCTCTGGCAGGGCATGTGTATATACACTGATCATTGTTCTTGACTTTCATTATTGAATTGTAAAATAAATGATTTTGTAATATGATCTTCTTTTTAAAACCTGGTGATATGTTTTAAATATAAATTTCATTTTAAGGACGTTAGCACACACATAAGGAAAATATGAATTTTGATAATTTTGATACTAATAATAATGATAAATTAATAAAGACCTTTTCAATTAGTACCTGAATAATATTCATAGTTTCCCTATGTTCCCAGCTCTAGCCACGTGGAGGCCTCCTTAATTGTAGAGCCATGATTTGAATTTTGAAACAAAAATATTAAAGCCAAAGGACCGAAAGATGACCGAAAGATAAAAAGAAAATAAAAAACTTTAAAAAAAAAAACACATTTTATCATTATTCCTAGTCAATCTTTTGTTCATGTAAAAACATATTACAGCCAAATGAAAGTAATTGACAATAAATTAATAATTATAAAAAAAATTAATAGAAAGGAATTTATAATTCAATTAGCAACATTTATAAAAAAAATTATGTTCCTAACCTAACTTAACCTAACACAACACCAAACAGTATTCACTGGTCAGCACCCGTCTGGCGGGGGAGGAATACTGCCTGATACTAACCCTATTCTAAGTTCTAACCTAACACAACACCAAACAGTATTCACTGGTCTGCACCCGTCTGGCGGGGGAGGAATACTGCCTGATACTAACCCTATGCTAAGTTCTAACCTAACACAACACCAAACAGTATTCACTGGTCTGCACCCGTCTGGCGGGGAGGAATACTGCCTGATACTAACCCTATGCTAAGTTCTAACCTAACACAACACCAAACAGTATTCACTGGTCTGCACCCGTCTGGCGGGGGAGGAATACTGCCTGATACTAACCCTACTCTAGAAAAAAATAAATACTTTTCTTTAAGTTCTAACCTAACACAACACCAAACAGTATTCACTGGTCAGCACCCGTCTGGCGGGGGAGGAATACTGCCTGATACTAACCCTATTCTAAGTTCTAACCTAACACAACACCAAACAGTATTCACTGGTCTGCACCCGTCTGGCGGGGGAGGAATACTGCCTGATACTAACCCTATGCTAAGTTCTAACCTAACACAACACCAAACAGTATTCACTGGTCAGCACCCGTCTGGCGGGGGAGGAATACTGCCTGATACTAACCCTATGCTAAGTTCTAACCTAACACAACACCAAACAGTATTCACTGGTCTGCACCCGTCTGGCGGGGGAGGAATACTGCCTGATACTAACCCTACTCTAGAAAAAATAATAATTATACAATTTTAAAAACATTTTTGGGTTCCTGGTTTAAAACTGACTGATTATTGGCCTTTGATCTACTGATCTACTGTATTTTAGATTTTTTGAAAGTTGTAGTCCTGTCCACTTTTTTACGTTTTTGTTGTCCAATCTTTTTACCTAAGGTACGTGGTCTAACTATAGTGGTAGTACCGTCAGTTGATGTAAGCGTCGTTTTATCTGGCGGAATAAAAAGTTTGAATCTTTTGTACAACCTATCCCGTTCGTCCGTCGTTTTGGTCACCCACACTGATTTTGAAACTCTGAAATGTTCATGTGTGTCTACTAGTTTTAATTGTCCTACGCCAACAAGTGATTTTCTAAGGTCTTTAAATTGTGATTCTATAAGTGTTGTCAGTATATTAACCAAATCAAGGAGTGGTTTTGATTTCCAATCAATTGCTTGTTTTAAGACATGATTTAATGACTCAGAATTATTATTTGTCCACGGTTTATCAACAATGTCATGCCTGATGGGGTTGTTGACTTTTTCTTTGAGATTTGGTTGAATTTTTTTGAAATATTTTAGAAATTTTCCTGAAAGGTCCTTTGATAGGTCTTCTATTTGCTCCGAAATGTGATCAAAACAAATACTGTCGTCAGAATTTATCAACCCGTCATCACTGAAAATGAGGTCCAATATTTTTTGTCTGTCTGCCTTGTCTACACTATCATCAACAAGTTTTTGTTTTGTATTTTGATAAAGATGTCTCTTACACAAAATATGGTTTGATTCAGGAAAACATTCAGTAATTGCTTTTACTAGTGCCTTTTCTTCATCTGACCCAAAGATTAATTTTGACTTATCAGTGTCTGAGAGTTTTGTCCTCAAATGAAAGAAGAAATTACTGTATGACTCAAAGTCACTATTGTCATGAATAAATAAAGGTCCAAGAAAGATTGGGGGTTCTTTTGTTTTGTCTTTTGTTACTCTAACTTGTTTATAGCATGTAGCAGTGACATGCATGTCACAAAGATTAAAAGTTTTGTCAACACCTAAAATTGTCTGTCCACTACAACATAAAGTTTTTATGTCATTAATTTGGTCTTCTGTGTATAGGATTAAACAGGGTGCTTTCCCTTGATCTCTAATGACTGACTTGACTAAACTATTGCCAGATGTCACTAAGCTATCTATTTCCCTAATGTGGTCAGCAATATTCCGTCTGTTTGTAACATGTCCAGACTCATTTTGTCGCATCTTTTTGTTGTCATATTTTTTTTTGTCATGTACCTGATGTATACTAGAAGGCCCACTTAGTTCATCATATTTAGCATTTAATTCACTAAACACTTGAAGTGGTTTTTTCTGTTTTAGAAGTTCAGACATTTCCTGCAAGACATTATGTGGCGTACGTACATATTCCTGTTTACGTTTAGAATTTCCATGAGGGGCTAACCCAGGGAATAAGCCTAAATATTCTACCAAAAAAATGTCCCCTGAATTTACCCATGAAACGCGTTTTTTGTAAGAGGAATCCAGTTTTAGGGTTGTATAACAGCGAGTTAAAGTCAAAACCATGGAAGGGTCTGGTTGTGGTTCTAATGGAACATAAGTCAAATTACCCTTAATTTTTTTTCTAAAATGGTAAAGATTCTGTCTAAAAAAAAGTGGTTTATATTCCCCAGATTCTTGTTTCAAGAAATGAGTTTTTGGACAACCAGTTCCTTTTGACCAGGCCCCACATTCATCAGG